AGGGACCAGTTGAGGTCTGTTGTGAATACGACAATGAACCTTCGGGTTCCATAAAGTGCCGGGAAGTTCTTGAGTAGATGCAGATTTGGCTTCTCCTCAAGAAGGGCTCAGCTGCATGACTAAGTAAGTAAGTAAGTAAAGTATATTGTTTGGGCCTTTCTGAATAAAGCAAAGTGAGGTACGGTTGAACCTATCTCTAATTAATTAAGCACTAGTCTCTGAAGGCGTATGTGGCAGTGAAGGTGTTGATCCACCATTCTTGACCTCAACACTGGATGGAGGTACGTGGTCGGCGATAATCGAAAGTCAGCGGTCCATTTTGTAACCAGTCACTGTAGCGACTGAGCTATCCCGGTTTTCGTACATATACTGTAATCTTACGACTCTCACCCAAAATTATTAATTTTGTGTATCATATGTCAACCTATGACTGCCTCTATGGTCTAGTTGTCAGAGTCCCTGGCTACAGATCCAGAGGTCCCGGGTTCGATTCCCGGCGCTACCAGATTTTCTGAGAAATAGTGGGACTGGGGTCCACTCAGCCTATTGAGTGTAATTGAGCTATCACGTGACGCCCTCTACCCCCAAAAGTTGGAACTAACTTCGCCGAAAAGCGGCGGTCTCTCGGTCAGTATAGTTCACTTGCGGACTACAGGCCACGGAGTTTGTTTTTATGTCAACTTATAGTTCCAGCGAAAATGGGACATCTTCTTGAGGCTTGAATCCTCTCTGCGACTATACAAGTTTCATTAGTATCGGTAATTTACATTGTTTGCTATCCTCCGTTACGCCTTTAGCGATAAGGGTGTTCATGCAGAGAAAATCTTAAGCGTGTAACGGACAATAACGAGACCGAGCCTTCCAGCAGGAATGCCAACCTAATTGCTCTTGATCCCTTACTTAATGTATGTCATGTAACGATAAAACTTGAAACGAAGGTTTGAAGAAAACATCTCTCCCCGACAATCTAGGTACTTGACTGGCGATCATTATTAGAGCCATGCCGTAACCGTTTCCAAGTGATGGCCACTCAGGGGCTGTGACGTAGAGATTTCCCTGTTGGTCTCGGCTGGAAGAAGGATGTCAGTTTGGTATAGTCGGTGGGAGATAGGTAGTCGGAGATATATAATTGAAGTGATACTTACCATGAGAGAGGTTCGCGTGGGGGAGCTCGAGAAAGTTTAGTGATCGACACCGAACAATGTGCAAGCTTACTGAAGGATTTTTCTAACCATCCATATATAATTGTACTATTCTTTTATCTAAGTATGAGGGCCGCGCCATAGCTGAAGCGGTTAGTCGCTGGCTTCCCACCGCGGCGGTGGATCGCAATGGATCCCGCTACTAAGAGTGACTCTGCTGGCGGAGACCACCAGAAATTTACCCGGAACTAAAATAGTACCAAGTTTAATATTTCACCTCCCAGGAACAAACACAGCGATGCCGCATATTGTCATTTCGACACAATAAACAGGCATGAATCGACAAGTCATGACACAACGCGACGTATCCAATGAGACTGTTATGGTTTCTGTGTTGAGATCCGTTACCAGGAAACGACTAGTGAAGACTGGGAACCCTAGTGCGCGTGCAACGGTGAAATGGAAAGCGTGTAAATCAGTGATAGAGCTGTATTTAAATGTAAATAAGAGAGGTAACAAAAGTTCTAATAAATCCAAACATCCGAACTAGAACCCGTCATATGTGTCGCGTGTACCATCCTACACGTGNTACGTCACCGCTGTTGACTCGCGTTGCTTAGCTACCAGGTTGCGGGGACTCGGCTAACTTCGGCTCCGCTCGTGACGTCACTGCGGGGAGAGTGGCGGGGTGATGACTCCCCTATTACGCGAGCGCTACGTTACCGCCACGTGCCGCTGGGGAGGTAGGGGTCCTTCGTTGCGCAACATGTCACAATATATTTGAATGGTGATTTCACATTTTAAATTACGTACTAATTTTTAAACTTATAGACCCTCTGGGAAATTTAATATTGGACTTTATTTCGGTATATACAAATTTCTATACAGTGAAGTACTTATAAGCGAATAGATGTACATTTGACGGAACTCGAAATATTTTCCAGAGTATCTTTTTAATTGAGCTTCAAGTATACGAAATTTTCCATTCAAAATTATTTCATGTGTTAGAAGATGGAGCCTTTTCATTCTTCGCCTGTTTTTTCTACTTAGAATAAAACAGATAAACAAAATTTATCCTTCAAATCCATCTCCGTCTTTGTGAATGTGGTTTATTGTGTCAGGAAATGAACCTGGTATGGACATGATGAATTCATACGTCTTGCCACCCTGTCACTTCGTGTTTTGTGCGTCATATTCACGTTCAAACACGGACCAGAGAAATATAACGCTCGTGTGGCACTAACCTATCTTTTTGAAGCTCCAGGCTCATGAAGAGTCGATTTTCTCCATGACCTGAACTAACGCAGAATTACGATACGCATCTGTGAAGCTCCACCTTTTGAAGCATGAAGCAAGAACTACGATAGAATATGAAGAAAGCAGTCTTCTGTGATGTGGCGCCATGTAGATATTGTGTTAACCGACGTTTCGGAGGGTAGAAGAAAGAAGAAGAAAATCAGCGAGCGAGGAAAAAACGAAGGCAGGTGCTGTCTGTTAGAAAGATGGAGGCGATACGTTCCTCCGAAACGTCGTTTAACACAATATTTAAATGGCGCCATATCCCAAAAGACTGCTTTCTTCATAATCACCGCCGTGAAAACCTCAAATCTTACATACGATAGAATGGTATGGAATGGGAAGAAATGAGAGACAGTTTAATTAATTTCGGCGAAGGAAAATCGCTGTCATACAGGGTTGCAAGGCTTCGACCACTTTTTGATCTCACAAGCATGATGTGATCGTAGTTACGACACGAATTAGTAACATGAAAGAAGACAGCTCATACGAACAGTACCGTTCTATAAATTCGGATTCTTCGTCAATAAAACGCCGTGTAGTCCGTTTGAAAATCAACCGAGATTTCAGATTGACACGTCAACTCCGAAACGTCTGTTGACTTTCAACGGATTACATAGCGTTATATCCCGGAAGTTACAGTTATTCAATGCTAATATTGCTTTGAAATTCCCTTCTTCCTCAAAGAAAACACAAAGCATATCAGTTTCAAAGTTTGGGCGGTTACAGTGTTTACAGAATTGATCGCTGTTTGCACAGAGGAGAAGGAAGGAACTCACTAACATGGAGAGACGAAGCAGAACGTAAACTTTAAGGACGCACGGATACTACCGCCCTCTGCAGATATATATAAGCGCCATGAATGTAACTTGTTGACCCTATACATGATACATGAGACTCTTTAAGGCTACATGTGTGTGTTTGTGTTAAATGACTGTGTATTATATTGTTCTCTTCACGTATTTACGCAGGTGGGAGTTCTGTTAACGAAACTATGTCTCAAGGATAAATATGAAAAAAATTCATTGCTTTAATGGAGAAAACAACCGAACGGAGAAGTTCATGGAGGTAGACCTAGGCCCACTGGGGCTGTAGTGCCAAGGGGAAAAAGTGGAGAAAACAGGGAACAAGATAAAAATATGAATGAAAGAAATAAAGTAAAAAAGTAAAAGCTGTCCCTGTAACAGGCCATGAAGGCCCATAGGGTTGTGAGACGTTGAGGGTCCCACATTTTCTAGACAATCGGCTCAAAGATGGCGGTAAGGTTGTCAGCCTTACGCGCCGGCCGCGCTTCACTCCCCAGGAAAATTATTTAATTAATTCCTTGTACTCATTTCTGTTATAGTGCGGCTGGAAGGATTTGAAAATTAATATGAAAGAGGTTATTCCCCGTTGAATGTCAAGGGGTTTCCCCCATTAAATTGAACTTCGCTGTGCAAATAGGAGTTATCAGGTGAACAATTAAGAAATTTTCTTTGCGATTACACAGCTGAACCGAGCTTGGGGCTTGGTTCGAATATCGGGCAGGATATGTATCCTGAGGTTTCTTAGGAAACTTAGGGAAATGTTGGGATAGTATGTCCTTCCTTGCATATACTTTTCCAGCTCGTCAGTCGTCCAGCCATTTGTCACTGCTCAGTCTAGATACACAGAGCCTCGTAGAGTGAGTCACATAAATACATACCGACCGACCGGTTGGTTTCAAATGTCTCTTTGTTTCTTTATTGCTTCGTTGTTTTCTGTTTGTCTCTTTCTTTGTGTATTCCCGCCATTATTCTTGCCCTTCTTACCCTTTTCTTTTTCTCTTTATTTATTAATTCCATTATTGCATTATTTATCATTTTATCTTCCTCTCTCGCTGTTATTCTTCCATTCTTTGTCCCATCTTTCCCTATTCTCTGCCGGTTTCCTCTTCTTCTTTCATAATTTTTGTGTCTCGTCCTCATCCCTTTCTTTCAGTTCTGTCCTTTTATTCCTTTCTGTCTTCCATTCTATCTCTTCTGTCCCTTATTTCTTTTTACCTCTATATCTGCCCCTGTGTATCTTCTTACCTCCGTTTGTTCCTCCCGTTCCTGTGATTGAATGCACTACTCGTTGGGGTCCGACATTTTATCTGCTGAACAACTTCCAGAATTCCCGTTTAAAACATTAAGATCTACGTTTGCTGTATGCTTGAACTTCCGATTTCTGTAATCTCAGCTGAGCTGAATAATAGCAATGCTTTTAGTGCCACTTCCTCTTACGACAAACATCCTCAACTTTACAGATTGTTGGTTGAGTAGAAGACTAATCCTTTTGGGATGTCTTGTGGTTCTCTTTACATGGTGAAATTAACTCACAAGGAAAGATTTGAGATCCCCATGTACGCAAGGGAATCTTGACATGTTCNTTAAAAAGGATTTTGAATGAAGCGGACGTAGCCTATTAGACATGCTGTCCCGGAATTTGCCTGAAATGACTGAGGAAACCTCAGTCAGAATATCTGGTGTCCTCGATATGAACCAAGGACCTCAGAAATAAAATTCGAAATTTTTACCGCTACGTGAATCTTCTCTTTTCCAGGTTGTCATGGAGGTGATCATGAATGTTACCGGGCTTATGGAATGCGATACCCGCCAAGTTTTGGTACATAGGAACCAACAGTTTAAAGGAATCTTCTGCTTCCATGTTCAAGGTAGAAAACACTATCTTCCAATCTGTACATCATATATATATATATATAAGAATAGAGTAATTTACATTTTTGCTACCAGGTGGATATCATGTACTTACATTATACCGTAATTTTTATACAAATATTATATTTCTGTACTTTATCTATTGTTCTCTTTTTATTTAAAACACGACGTTTCGGAGACTGGGGTCTCTCTCCGTCTTCATGTAACCCTGCTCAGTTGGGCCCAATCTGTATACTTAGTCTCTATCTCCGGACACCTGTATCGAAACAAGGTAGGTATATATAAACCAAACAGAGCACACACCATCTGCGAGAGTTAAGACAAAACATAAAATATTTTTAAAAACTCCACACGTATGAGGCCTAGCACCAGAGTATATCAGAAAAGAAATAAATTCTCCGTATGGTACCAACATAAAAAATACAAATTTTCCCACTTAATTTACACTGGACGGACTTGCAGTTTTTTTTTGCTTGTACTGTGGGAACGGGAGTCCAGTTGGGAGAGATGTCCAAGCTGAGTTGAATGATCGGATGGCCTATCAGAGACGTGTGGGCGGATTCCTTGCGTATTCTGTATGTGGTGTTTGTTTCAGTCTGCCCACACATCTCTGATAGACCTTCCGATTAGCCATACCAGCTTGGATATCTCTCCCATCTGGAATTCCGTTATCGCGGCAGAAGTAAAAGAACTACAACTCGATCCAGTGTAGATTAAGTGGGGAAATTTTTATTTTTTATGATGGCCCCATACAGATAATTTCTCTCTCCAGTGATTACTTTTATTCTGATATACTCTGGTGCTAGGTCTCACACGTGTGATGTTTTTTACACTTTTAATATTTTGTCTTAACTCACAGATGGTTTGTGCTATGCTTGGCTTGTATACCCTGTCCTGTGTTGGCACAGGTGTCCGGAGATAGGAATTGGCTTTTGATTGGGCCCAACTGAATAGGTTTTACCTGAAGGAGACAGAATTCAGTCTCCGAATCAGTCTGTTGTAGACAAAAGTAGGACGATGAATAATGTCCAGTAACATAATATTTGCGTTATTGTACTATCGTAACAAAATTTTAAATCATAATTTTTATCCTTAATCTAATATTCCGAGGCTCAGAAACATAATGAAATTCAGGCCCAAATCTTGAATTTTCATTGATGGTTTAGAAACTGTTCAGAATTATAAGATTCTAAATCATAATTATTGCGTTGTGACAAATCTATATATACGTAGAGTTTCCTCGCTCTGCGTTGGTTCTTATTGCGAAAGCCCACAGATAACGTCTTCTGTAAGGAAGCGTTTAACTTAGGCTTGGTTTTCAATCCGAAATCCCGAAAAAAAGAGCACATGGCAACGAAAACAGAAATTATATTTCCAATGTAGGATTCCGAGATCCCAAACACAAGAAATACAGGGAAACTTTTTTGTAAATTTACGGAAAGGCTTATTTTCTATAATGTTTTAGAAACTCTTCGGAATTATAAGTTTTTAAACTCTCATTCTTCGTATAAATAAATTGTGTCGTAACAAGCCCACGGCTCATACATATTTAATTCGTTTTACTAATGTTGACATTGCGAATCTTCGTTCATACGAACTTATATATTAAGGTCCAGCAAGATTTTTAAAGTATGTGGCAGTGCTTATTTTGTATGTGAAGAACAAATCCTTCAATCATCGACTGCTATATTCGGTTTCTTTGTTATCGTGGTGAACCAGACAGTGGCCATTTTCATGTTTGTTTGCCAATTTAAGGAAGAGAGGGGTTGGATATATTTGACGAAATGTGATTATCTTGTAAACAAGGGTTTCCAAAGATAATTCACCTAGATAAGAGGAACATATCGCTATTTTATCAAACGTAATGTCTTCATATGTATACATTTTTCTTTCCAAATCTCTTAAATTTATTGAATTTAAGTGTTTTAAATTAATTTAGTTTTTAAAAATTGTTCATTAAAACTTCAAGAAGGTTTTATAATTATTGCTTAGTTCGCAACATTCTCTCGCTATATAACATTTTATCAATTCTATATAAAATACCTCTGATTTTTCTGCAGCCTTGGAGAATTTCAGATTGATATTTTTGTTAATTAATAAGCCAACTAATTAAAAATATGGAAATAATTGGTCCTTATTACTACACACGTATACACGGTTTCATATAGCCCTGAACCAGCCTAATTAACATTCGTGTGTTTAGAAGTTCTCACACATAATTGTGAAGGTTACTATAGACTGGGATGTGACACCGTGTAGTCTGGAAATTCTTTTCAACTTTTTTCATATTAATCTGCTGCCTCCATATTCAGCGCAGAATATTTCCTGTACCACGAAGAAGGAAGGATCATGTTGCTCTAAAAGCTTCTAATGCTGTACCAGACTACACGGAGTCATGTTGTTGACGATAGAAATTTTCAGTTCAACATTTAATTGAATATAAACACATGCACAGTGATTAATGAAATCTTAAGATCTATGTTGTTGAAGTAGTACTGATTGCCAATTGGTTACGTGTGTGGAATTAATCAATTTGCCAAAGTTCTAAAATGGTATTTTATCAGTTTCAGCATCTTTTGTGTATAAGAGTATAGTTACTAATTAACTTCATGGAGCTAGCTGAGCCCTTCTTGAAAAGCCACCAGTTATGCAGTTACTCAACAACTTCCCAGCATTTTATGGAACCCGAAGGTTCTTTGCCGTGTTCACGAGAGCCCTCCATTGGTCTTTATCTTAGGACAGATCAGTTTAGCCCATATCACCCCATCCTATCTCTCTAAGATCCATTTTAATTTATCCACCTATGTGTTCGTCTTCCTAGTGGTCTCTTTCTTTCTGGCTTTCCCACCAATATCCTATATGCCCCCATTCGTGCTGTAACATACTATGTAAATGGTATAGATATAATTATACTTGAAGAAACATCAATGAAACGCTGTATGACGCAGATCGCGTTACTGTTCATTCAGATAGAAAACAGTAGTAATACATCTTATGTACACAGTTTTGCTATAATTAATTCGTTATCTCAAGAATGGGCTTGTTCATTCATACGTGGTCTGACAATAAAGTTCGCGAACTCGACTCGATGCAGTGCTACATATCTCACTGCTGAATATGACTGTTATCGCCTTAAAATACTCCCCTTTGGAAGCTATGCACCGATGCCAGCGCCCAGTCCACCCTTCAAAACAATTTTGGAATTGGTTTTGTAGAATGCCCTTCAGAGCTGCCTTCTTATTACCCCTGATGACATCAGCGCCATCAAAATGTGCTCCTTTCAATATTTCCTTTATCTTTGGGAACAAAAACGCCATTGGGGGTTAGATCCGGTGAACAGGGAGAGTGTTCCAGCACAGTTATTTGTTTATTAAACAAAATCTCCCTCACAGACAGTGCCGTCATTGTTTATGTCCTGAGCCAGATAAATCCAGTCCATACCATGTGTCCTGTTTCTCAAAAATCAATGTTTTCCTCGCTTGTGAGGTTTGCCCTTTCCATTGGTCTCTCTACTGAATGTTTACCTACCGTAGTCCTGTATGGTCTTGTCTTTGCTCCACTACGAGACACATGGCATGCCTAGCTCATCCTCCTTGCCTTAGTCATTGGCGAAAAGGAAGGGTATATGAAGTTCTTCACTGTGGGGTTTTCTCTAGCCTCCTGTTACGTCATCCCGCTTCGATCAAAGAATTCTCCTTAGCAGCCCCTTCTCAAATATCCTCAGTCTGTGTTCTACTCTTAATGTCAGAGACAAAGATACAAACCAATACAAAATTGCAGGATAAGCTACAGTTTCATAGATTT